TTGGGGTTCAGATTTATATTATTAATACCTGGGAGCGTATGGAAATCCCCAGCCCTATGGTAATGATACCTCACAGATAAAACCCCATGAGCTCGAAATGCAAACTGACAAAGCACATGAGGTAAGAAGCTGTCTTGGACATGAGTCAACAGAAAAACAGAACAATTGTACTCAGGAGTGCCAGAAATGGATTATAAAATTCCTTTATCAGATAAGTATGACTTTAAATGACTAAATAAGTATTTAGTCGTTATATTAGAAAGATAAGATCATGAGCAAGAGAGATAAGAGATTACTTTTTAAAAAAATACCTGGAAGATTTGAAAATTACTCAATTAGAACTCCTAGGAGTTAAAAAAAAAAAAAGACATTAATTAAAAAATGGATCACCTAAGTTCAGCTGAAGATGAGACACAGCAAGAAAGAAAAATAATGAGCCAGAAGATAGTTTCTAAAGTCATTTTCCTGAATGCAGCAGAGAAACAAAGACGAAAAATATGAAAAAGAGTTCAGATTGAGAAATCCAGTGCAGGGCATGAGGGAATTGCTAAAGCTGGTGATAGAACAAACAGAAAAAGAATCATTGTTCAAAGAAATAAGTGGTTGGACATTTTTCAGAGCTGAGACACAAATCTGCAGATCTGAGAAGCACAAACCCCAAAGAGAATAAATAAAATCAGATCCACTCCTAGACACATTGTAGTGAAACTACAGAGCTTCCAGGACAGAGGTTTTAAGAGAAAATCCATAGAAAAGGCAGATCACCCACAGAGGAATGACCCCAAGATCAACAGAGGCCAAAAGCAACAATGGAAGCCACAAGACAGAGGAACATCACACCCTCCATGCTGAGAGGAAATAGCTCAGCTCAGAAATCTCACTGGTCTCACTCAACAACAGTGGCCAAAATATAACTAAAACTTTTGGAGATCCAGCCAGGGTGTCTTTGTTGTGTCTGGTCCTGGCCTCCACTGTGGATCGGTCCCAACTGTCTATGATCATCTCACCTATGACTGGCCTGGTCCCTAGAATCCAAACTTTTCCAACCCGGGCGATCTCCCTCCAATAGTGTCTGTTTAACAGGTGTGGCCTGCTAGGGGTGGGGAGGAGGTGTGAGGGGCTCTCTTCCTGAGATACCATTCCCTTTCACCTGTCTGGGCGCTGGCCATTTCCTCTGTGCTGATGAAGGTGCCTGCTGGCCTCCCACCTCCCACCCCCCACCACCCAGGGCAAGCCCACTGGCTTCCCCATCCTCCACTCCCCTGGCCAATCCTACCTCTAGTCCCCTACGCAGCCCTTGGGACGACTGCCTTGTGTGAAGGGCTGATCTGGTCGTAGACCCTGCCTCCGTCTCCAAACAGATCTGTGTTCCCCCAATGACTTTCTCCCAGGGGTGGCCACGTCTCTCTTCTGACAAAGGGCCAGGAGCTCTCCCCTCTTCCCGGAGTCCTGTTGTCTCCAGTGTTCTGCATCTGCAGTTACCAGAGACTTGGAGGGACCCACCACGTCCATTCCTGTTGAAATTCACCTCTCACCAGGAACCAAGGCCAAGACTCTGGTCTTTCAAGTACCTAGGAGCCCTTCCTTCTCAGAGCAGCTCAAAATCCCTCCAAATCTCTCCCGAGCCTGGCTGTCAGCCCCCTGCTCAGCTCAGCTCAGCTCAGCTCCCCTCTAGGGCCCTGGGACAGCAGAGATAAAAACACTCTCCTCTCTTCTTTTCCTTACTCCTGGTTCCCCAGCCAGTACTTTCGTTAAGTGACCTGACCTGTCCTCACTATAGGTGACTGGTAATGACTTCGAGGAGATTGAAAAGAAGATGTCACGTTTCAGAAAGTCCTGAAATGCAGGCAGGAGCCCAGTCTGACCCCTTGGCTGCCACCGTGGCTCTGTCCTTGTCCTTGGGTGGGAGCCCGCTGGACTGACCCTCCCTTTGGTGTCGAGGTTGAGTCCCCCTCCCGGCCACCTTGGCACTAGACCCCACAGGTTAAAACAAAAGGCAAATGCAGGAGCTAGAGAGGATAGTTGATATAAAGGACGGACATAAAAGCCCAGACTCCACGTCTGTTTCATCCAGCCTATTCCTTACTTAGAAAGACAGATGAGATCCAAATCGGTCACAGGAACTAGTATCCAAAAAAGATAGATAGATGGAAAGATGTGGTCTAAGACCATAAAATAAATGGGTCATTCATCAAGGTCTGAATGTCACCACTCGGAGCGGTGGGGGGTGGAGATGGGGAGGTGGGGATCCCAGTAAGTACACACTAGAATATTATTTTTACATTTTCACAGTGTTTTACAGCAAGATTTTTACAATCTTCCCTACTCCAAATATCACCTGTCAGTGTTCACCTTCCAATAATCCGCATTGCTCAGAGTTTCTCGCTGACCAACGTGGAAACCCTCCTCACCTCCTTCCTGCCTGGTGACGACCACCCAGGCCAGAGTTTTGCTCACTCTCCAGCCACATCACAGGGACCGTGCCGGAGACATTGCAAAACCCACAGCCACTCCCATTTCATTTGGGAGGAAGGGGGGAAGCTTGTCTGGTTACGAGCTTTGCCCCTAGTGTATTAATTAATGCATAAAAACTTGGACATATTTGGAGGGTACATGTGATATTTTGATATAGTCATATGATTATAATGATCAAATCAGGGTAACTGGGACATCCATCACCTTAAACATTTTTCTTTGTGCTGGGAACATTCGAATTCTTCTCTTTGAGCTATTTTGAAGTATACAATAGATCACCGTTAACTACAATCAACCTACTGAACTATCAAACACTGGGTCTTACTCCTTCTACCTAACTGTATTTCACCCATTCCTCAACCCCTCTTCATCCCACCTCTCTCCCCTGCCCCTGGAAACTACCACGGTTTGGGGACACAAATGAGGAGAATCAGTTTTCATGAGTTTTTAGAAGCTGGTTGAGACACAGACATCAGACCCAATGAAAACAGCCAGTATGAAGTTAAAGTGATCAACTAAACACGTCCAAGAATGAGACCAACTCTGAAGGCTGCGTACATGCCGCCTACCCCTGGGGAACAGAGCACCTTCGGGCCCCCACTCCTTCCTTATTGGGCTTTTGGCATCAGGGAAGCTTCAAGCGGGAAACCCAATGGTCATTCGACCCCAGCACTTTCTGAAGAGAGAGCCAGGGGTAAAATGGGACTGCCAACTTACTCTCCCACCAACAGGCCATTTTCCTCCCTTCTCAGCAACGCCCCCGTCATCTCACCAAATCCGGAGCTGTTCCCCACGCCCTTTGCTGCTGCCGCCGACGGCAGAGAGCCAGTCGTGTTGCTGACCACCCTGGGGCTGCTTGGGGACTTGTGTATTAATGGTTCAGTGAAGACCTTCTTCCTTTCCTGGACTGAGCCAAAAAACTGGAACGCCTCGGAGCCTCGGGACTATTTGTTTTTGCTTCTATCCCCCAACCCCTGCCACGTCTTCAGGTCCCCGTGAGGGAGACGAGGAGAATGCAGCAGCAGCTCAAGCAGCAGCTCCATCACAGCCCCACCGCCGCCTCCGCCACGCAGACGACACACAAGGAACAAGGCGAGGATTCCGAGAAGCTGACCTGGCAGCTGGACAGACACACGTGTTCACATGTGACAGAACTCAGACGTGTGCAGAGTGGTGGACTACCTCACACACAAGCGTGAAACAAGAGTGAACAGTAGGACTGTCGCTGAGGCAACTGGCACAGGACACCTGCTAACCAGGACAGAACACTGACACCAGAGACTGTAACCTGGTGGCCCCCAGGCAGGACACAGCTGTCCAGAGTCTTACCCTCTAGAATTTTATTTATTTTATTTTATTTTTACTTCAGAATATTACATTTGGCAATATGTATCCGAAAATCGGGAGGTTTCATAAGAAAATCGGTACCCCAGGTTTCTCTTGGAAAATAAGACCTAGCAACATCAGCGACCCTGCCAGTACTGTTACTGAACAACAGGCTTGCTTCTCGACACACGGAAGCCACTATCATGGCACCAGCTTGTGAGAAAAGAAAAAGCTACATTGTGAGTCGATTGGTAAGGAGACAAAAGGCTATGCTTGAGTCTGTCTCCCCGATCTGGGCGTGGGTCGATCTTTTATGGCATTGCTGACCAGCTCCAGGTGATGCCAGTGCCACTAGCCTGCCAGGCTGATGGTGTTAACAATTAGCAGGTTAAAGCTTTTCCCCACTGCACACGCCCAGGCTGCATGACTTGCAATTTTGGCTCTGCGCCGTCTGCAACAACTTAAGCAATGGTTAATTGGTTTGAGCTGGTCCTGTGGTTACACCACTGAGAAGCGGCACCCAGCTCACCTGGCTGACCCGTCTGGTCCTTGTTTCAGACCAAATATCTGCCTCTTCCTGTGACTGTCCTTTTAACCTTAAATTACTTCCTCCGGGATCGGATGCTCCACATTTTGTTTAAGTAATATTTAAACTGTATTTATTCAGCTGCCCCGTATTAAGGGTAACCATACTATTTAACATGCAAACAATGACATGCTTGAGAATGAATGTCGATACTGTTAATTATACCAGGAAGAGAGAGACAAACCCCAGGCAAATTGGGTCCAATGCGGACCCTTCTTTAAACATTCTTTTGTGATCGGTGGATGGAAATTTTCATGACCCTGTTGATTCTTGGTCATGGGAATCAAGGAAAGAAAAAATGTTGAGTTTTTGTTGTTTTTTTTTTAACGGCAATGATTAGCCAAGGAAAACAAGTAGCAATTCTGTAAAGAATTTCTGGTCAGAAAGACATGACGACAAGAAATGTTTTAATTCCTAATGTTGCTAAACTTTGTCTCACTAAACAAGATACAGCAATTGCACTAATGACAAATAGTGACAGCAAATGTTTCTACATAATGCATTCCGTGCCAGGCACAGTGATAAACACTTTATATAGAGCCTGCCGGGTCGCAAGATCCCTACCGCTGGAGTTGCTTTATTTGCCAGGCTCCGTGAGGCCGGCTGAGTTACTGGCATCCCGTCCACCACCTCTCTCCTGACCTATGCTACAAAAGATCTTCCGGGGGCTGCACCTGCCTGCTGTCGCCTGAGACGGATTTGAACAATCTTATCTTGGCTTTGGACCTTAGAAGAGAATCACTGAGTGAGTAAGCAGGCATTTTGGACAACTGACTGGTTGAGCCCATCCCTGTTAGAAAAATGTCTCAGAGCAACCGGGAGCTGGTGGTTGACTTTCTCTCCTACAAGCTTTTCCAGAAAGGATACAGCTTGAATCAGTTTAGCGATGTGGAAGAGAACAAGACTGAGGCCCCAGAAGGGACTGAGTCGGAGATGGAGACCCCCAGGGCCATTAATGGCAACCCATCCTTGCACCTGGAGGACAGCCCTGCGGCGAATGGAGCCACTGGCCACAGCAGCAGTTTGGATGCCCGGGAGGAGGTCCCCATGGCAGCAGTGAAGCATGCACTGAGGGAGACGGGTGAGGAGTTTGAACTGCGGTACCGGCGGACATTCAGTGACCTGACATCCCAGCTCCAGATCACCCCAGAGACAGCATATGAGAGCTTTGAACAGGTAGTGGACGCACTCTTCCGGGATGGGGTAAACTGGGGTCGCATTGTGGCCTTTTTCTCCTTCGGCGGGGCCCTGTGCGTGGAAAGCATAGACAAGGAAATGCAAGTGTTGGTGAGCCGGATCATAACTTGGATGGTCACTTATCTGAATGACCACCTAGAGCCTTGGATCCAGGAGAACGGCGGCTGGGACACTTTTGTGGAACTCTACGGGAACAATGCAGCAGCCAAGAGCCGGAAAGGCCAGGAACGCTTCTACCGCTGGTTCCTGATGGGTATGACTGTAGCTGGTGTGGTTCTGCTGGGCTTGCTCTTCAATAGGAAATGACCAGACACTGACCATCCACTCACCCTCCCATCCCTTGCCCTGCCCCCACCACATCACTCCGTCCAGCCGCACTGCCACCAGGAGAACTACTACATGCAGCCCTGCCCGCCCACCCACCCATCACTGGCTTGGGCCTACACCTGGTCCCCTGCAACTAGTTTTCTAGAATTTACCACGCTTCGGTGAGAGCCACCTTCCCCCCCAAACACACACACATCTCAGTTCTCTCAGCCTTGAAATCCACAAAGTCCCCAAAATCTGCCCCATGGAGGCTGGTAGATACTGGAGGGCTTGTGGCTGGGGGCAGGATGGCCTTGCTTGATTGGTGGAACCCTTACCACTTAGCCTCCCAGAAGTGTTTTTCTGCCAGGGAGCTGGCGAGTTTTAGGAACCTCTTCCTGAGAAAGAGACTAGATTGCCTTTGTTTCAATGTCTATGGCCTCAGAATTGATCATTCCCCATCCCTACCCCTGACCTAGAATCCTCTTCGTTCCATCCCCATCCCCAAGAGCCACTTAGGAGACATTTGGACTAAAGATTCAGGCTGCTTGGAATAAAGAAGCAAGGACCAGGACCCCGCACCTCTGGTCTGGCCAAAGTCCCTACTCCTTTCTGAATGTCCTCCAGAGGCCTCTGGCTAGAGGCCAGCCCCATCCCACGCCAAAGCTAGAGTGGTCCTTGCATTTTCGCACCACCGTAGTCCCTTCCCTTCCCCTGGTTCCCATGCCCAAGACAGATGGTGCCCCAGAGCTGTTGATGGCCTCAACTGCCTCACTTCCTGCAAGATCGGCTGGTGTGTGGCATCTTTGCCTTGAGCTGTTGCCCATGGAGTCCAGAGGTTCTGGGGCCTCAGCCCAGAGGTGAAGAGGAGCTATAGATTTCTATAGGGACAGCTGTGGGTGCCCTCAGGTCTTGGGGCAGGAAGGGTAGAAAGAAAAGCCTGGTTCACAGGGTGGGAGTGGGGCAGACTGCAGGGGCCAGTCCTGCCTGACCAGGCAGATTTGTACCCCACCCCCATCTAGCCTGATCCCTTCAGCCCTCTCTCCTCTGCTGCACCCTTAGCCAGTCTCATCCCTGGGCATCTGGGCCCAGCCCCAGTCACCCTGGGCTCTCTAACACAGATATGTGAGACTAGTTTTTCTTCCTTGTGAAGATGATATACTATTTTTGTTAAGTATGTCTGTATTTATGTGTGAGGAACCGCTGGCTTGCTGTGTGCACACATGTGGAGAGCTGGTGCCAGAGACTGGACAGCCTGCTGCTCCCTGCCCTGGTCAGGGGAAACCTGCCCTGGTGGGGGTTGGGGTGGGGGGTAGAAACCGGCCAGGGGTCCTGGCTCCTGAGGGGCACGTGCCCCCCCCCCCTTGTTCCAGCTCTTTGGAATAGTCTGGGTGAAGGTGAAAGTGCAATTCACTAATAAATTGTTGACTCAGGGAAAAAAATAAAAAAAGTTTACAAGTATGTGCCAGTGGCCCTACCTACTTTGGAATGTGGGGAAAACCATAATCAGTGAAATCAATGTCAAATTTCTTGTTTCAAAAATGTATTTCTGGCTACTGTGATAATTTTTCATTCATGTTCTATTGTAATTGTTTTTACTGTTATTTCACGTTATTCTCCGTTATGGAACTGCATTTTGGTTTACACAGAATAGTTAATAATAAGTACATTTTGAGAGAACGGTGCCTTCTTGAAAAAAGTTATCTTTGTGTTTCCCACTGGCTGATAAACCAGTTAGTATTCAACAAATGATGGTAAAATTATTTCATTTTCCTAAAAATCTATAATAAAACACTTAATTGGAGAAAGAATATCTGAAAATTCAGATGAGAGGAGCAATGATTTTAATACAGAAGAGGTTTTGATATTTTCAGCACATAGAAACAATTAAAAAATGTATCTCTTAAATTCCATCTAAATGTTATGATAAAACATCACAAATATCTTAGTTTATTTCATTTAAACCCTTTACTACTTTATTTTCACCAGATACATCATCGATGTTTTAGTTAATTTTTTTCAAAAGTCTCAGTAGGACAATCATGTTCGTTTTGACAAACAACCCTAGGATTTTATTTCTATTAATTCAAATAGACAAAAACAGATACCTGAAAGCAGCATGAATGCCCTGACACCTTCTTGTGAGGTTATGCCTCATCTAAAAGACTAATTAACGTTTTCTACTATTGTATTTAAACCAAATCACAGATCCTTAACCCAAATTCTTGAGTCTAGGAATGAATTTCAAATGGCCTTAAAATCACACACACACAAATGTTTTTTTGGGGGGATGGGATGGAGTGGGGGTGGGGCAGGATCTCTATTCTTGAGAGTATTTGCAACCAAAAAGTTTTAAGGCTGACTCAGAGGAAGGAAATTAAGGGTTACTTGGAGGATAAGTCTGTTTCACTAGAGTGTCCCTTTCACATAATTTGAATAAGAGCTATTGCATATGAATTGGTTTCCTATTCACTCTCATAATTTAAGAGTGGAAAAATGTTTTCTGAGTGTTCATTTATTCATTCACTTCCCAATAAGCATTACTGAGTGCTTACTGAATACTAGGTATTATTCACCAAGATAGTAAATCAGAAGGATGAGCAATTTGGGGAGAAGGATGAATAATCAAATTGCTGACACACTGAGTATGAGACACTTGTGGGATATCCAAGTGGAGACGTTCATGTAGGAGAGAGGCCCAGGCCAAAGACTTAAATTTGGAGATCAGTAAAATATGGGTGGTAAAGTCATTAAACTTATTGGTGTATTTGAGCCCATAGTTGCATGCATAATGTTAGAAGAAGGTTAAAGAGACAAACAACCAACGTTTCCTGGGTGCATGGAGGAATTACCTTCCTAAGAAACTGGAAGGTAGTTGCAAGAAATCTAGCAAAGAAAGTCCCAAATGAGGGAGAAATAAACCACACCAAGATGTAGAACGATCCAGTAAAATAAAGATATAACCACCCAAACCGAGAATCAATTTCAGTGGAATGCTATCAGTGGAAATCAGGTTGCAGCCAGTAGGTAAGAAATGAACCTTCAGTGTGCTACATATTTAGGGAAAGGATTGGGAGATGAAGTGGAAAAGGAGCTTGCTATTTAGCACCTGATGTGATATTAAATAAATACCAAGTTAATGCCTTTGAGAAATAATAAAATCATTGTTCTCCAAATCCCAGAAGACAACCCATTGAGAGAATATCCAGGGAAGAGTAATAACTTTTGCATTACATGTGTATAATTAAGGGTTCAACCAGAAAAACAGAGCAGTAGGGTGTTATATATGTATCCTACTGTGTGTATACACATGCATATATATGGAAAGATAATAGACACATGTGTATATACATGAGTACAGGGAATTCATTTGTACAATTATGGGAGCTGGCTAGGCATCCTCCACAAGGTAGTCTCTGCATGTACTGCTGAAGCCTAAAGTTCACAGGCAGGCAGGCAGGTGTGAAGGTCATAAGTAGGCTTGAATTCCACAGAACAGACTGAAACCTGTGTTGTTTCCTGTTGCCTCTGACCTTGGCAATAAGAATGAGCATACATACTTTTGGTCTAGGGATCAGAGACACTAAAGATCCAGGGGCAAAGACAGCAATTGCAGGTCCAACTGCTGCTTCCTGTCAACAAGTCAGCATATCAGCAACAATGTGTGTGCACATGCATGCTACAAAATGGCTATTGCCTTCCTAACATCCTCCAACTAGTGTAAAAGAATTTCCTCTTATAGCCTCCCCTACCTGGACACATATAAGAAAATGGAATTCTGGAAGATGTAGTTCAGCCTCACCATGTGGGCATATTACAAAGCCATCACAATGCGCACTCTCAGAGATTCCAAGCCTGGGTGGCTACTAGAATAAGGGGTCTGGGTAATCCCTGTGCTTCATGAAGGTACTGTCACTGGGAGGAATAAACGAAGGAAGTAATGTAGAAATCTGAGGGTGGGACCACAAAGATCAGCTTGTTTATCCTCTCATTTGTTCTCACTGCATTGCTCACATGTATATATACCAATTAGATAAACAAGGGGATTAGGAAATAATTGACTCAATTTACCTCTCTATTACTTCTTATCCCAAACATCCCTTCTAATAATGAAAGAAAATGTTCAATTTCCGCTATTTTTTTTCAGGCAGTATTTTTCTTGGATGAATAGTTTTGATTATTACAGTGAAGAATAAAAGGATTTCTGATAAATCTCTGAAAACAGTTGAGCAAATGGAAGTGACAGTGCTGGCTTAAATAAAGGAGAGGACCCAAATGCTATTTATACCTTTTCTTTGGCTCTCCTAAAAGATTAAGTACTGCTACAAGGTGTAGCCTTATTTGTTGTTATGCAAAAATGTAAATGAGAGGGGTTTATTTATACTCTACCAAATTTCCATTCTTGGGGTGAGGTGCCAGTGGAAAGAGGGAAGCTAATCTGAAAACAAACACCAATTCAATAAACCTCATTTAAAATTTTTATTTGTGTTGGGGAAACCCACAGTCTTTAACTATGGGTAGGAAAGATGTTTCTCCTACTACTTACATTCTGTTAATGCTGCACTCTCAGAGAGTATCGTTAATCTATAGTCTATACGACTGTACTTTTCTAAGCATGTTTAGAGTCACAGAGCTGATCTTGACTGAGGGAGAGGTGTTTCTCCAAGAGCTTTCCTGTGACTATAGACTGTTGGAGAAAAGAGTTAGTCGAGGAAGATGGTGCATGACCTGCTGTGCTACCCTGGAGTATTATAGAATATGTGGTGACATTTTAAAACTACATGTTTATGTTTTCCTAAATTATAATATGAATATTTTATATTGTATAAATTTTGGAAAATAAAGATACATAAAAAAAACAACAACACTTTATACATAGTAACTCGTTGTCAGACTCACCACAACCCTATGAAATAGTCAACTATTATCCTCATTTTAGAGATGAGGAAAGTGTGGCACAGAGAAGTTAAGGTACTTGCCTAAGGTCACACAGCTAGTGAATGGCAGAACTGAGATGTGAACCCAAGATGCTGAGCCCTTAAGCCCATGCTAGTAACCACATGTCCTTGCCTCTGACACATAGGTCTCTGGGGAAATAGGCCTGCTTCTCATGTAAGGAAATGTGGGCAGACTGACGGCTCACAAGCGAGGGCTACTGTCCATGCTGCTTATTCCAACGCGGTAAGGCCCCAACCTGGCCCCGTTGCTTTTTCCTCAAACCGTCACTGGTGGGAACTTCTTATGGTCAAGGGGTGGTCTAAGGGATGTCACTGGCAGTAAGTGCAGCATGGTCAG